TGGTGCTGAGGATCGAGCCCAGCACCCTGTGCATGCCAGGTGAGCATGCTACCACTTGAGCCACATCTCCAGCCCCTTATTTATAATTTTTTTGTTGTTGTTTGAGTTCTTTTGTTTGTGCCCAGGATTGCACAGAGGGGCACTTACCACTAAGCCACATCCCCAGCCCTTTTTATTTTTATTTTTAAAATATTTTTATTAGTTGTTGATGGACCTTTATTTTACTTATTTATATGTGGTGCTGAGAATTGAACCCAGTGCCTCATGCATGCTAGGCAAGCACTCTACCACTGAGCCACAACCCCAGTCTGTCCTTTTTATTTTTTGAGACAGGATCTCACTAAATTGCTTAGGGCCTTGCTAAATTGCTGTGGCTGGCTTTGAATTTGAGATCCTCCTGCCTCAGCCTTCAGAGTCTCTGGGATTATAGGCATGTGCCACCATACCTCACTAAATTCTGAAGCAGGATCTCACCAAGTTGCTGAGGGTCTGAGTTGCTTACAGTCATGCAACACCATGCTTGGCTAGACTTTGTTTCTTTTCTTTTTCTTTCTCCTTCTCTTCTTCCTCTTGATTCCCTTCCTCCTCCTCTTATTTTTTTACTTGAGGTACTGGGAATTGAATCCAGGGCCTCCCACACACCAGGCAAGTGCTCTACAACTAAGCTACATTCCTGACCTTGTGTGTGTTTGTGTGGTGTGTGTTGGGGTGGAGATCGTGTTTCTGTGACTTACTTTTTTTTTTTTTAATTTTTAAGATCCCACACTTACAAACTCAAAGGAAAAAAAAAAACCCATACCTGATCCCTTCAGCATAATCTCTCGCTGAAGATGGATTTTTATTCTTTAGCTAATTTTTTATTTTTGTATCAGGGATTGAACTCAGGGGCACATAAAAACTGAGCCACATCCCCAGCCCTTTTTTGTATTTTTATTTAGAGATAGGATTTCACTTAGTTGCTTAGGGCCTTGCTAATTTGCTGAGGCTGGCTTTTTTTTTTTTTTTTGTGAGGCTGGCTTTGAACTCATGATCCTTCTGCCTCAGCCTCCAGAGCCACTGGGATTACAGGTATGTGTCAGGGTGCTGGGCCAATATTATTGTAATGATTGAAAAACTACTTTCTCAATTCCCCTCCTCTCTTGTTCATCATTCTTTAGATGTGGTAAATCTAGCAGTTTCCTCAGGTTTGTAGACTTTTTGGTGATTTCTCATTTGCACTTCATCAATTGCTGCCTAGGTTTGAGATAAATAAACAATTACAAAGCATGATTAGAGGAAGAGGTACAAGGAGATGTGAGCTAGTATAATGTAGTGTGTTTGAGTCCCAGATCTGATATTCAACTCAAGGCAAATTACTTTACCTTTCTAGATATTACGGTCCACCTACTTTTTAAAATTTATTTATTGGGGCTGGGGATGTGGCTCAAGCTGTAGTGCGCTCGCCTGGCATGCGTGTGGCCCGGGTTCAATCCTCAGCACCACATACAAAGATGTTGTGTCCGCTGAAAACTAAAAATAAATAAATATTTTTTTTTCAAAGAAAGAACATCATATTATTTTCCTTTATTGTTTTTTTTAATATTTATTTATTTATTAGTTATTGGCAGACACAACATCTTTGTTTATATGTGGTGATGGAGGATCGAACCCTGGCCGCACGCATGCCAGGCAAGCGCGCTACCACTTGAGCCACATCCCCAGCCCTAAATATAAATAAATATTGAAAAATAATTCTCTCTCTTTCTAATAAAATAAAATTTATTTATTTATTTAGGTACTGGTTATTTAACCCAAGGGCACTTCACCACTGAGCCATATCTCCAGACCTTTTTATTTTTATTTTTTTTAATTTTAAGACAAGGTCTCACTAAGTTACTGAGGGCCTCACTAAGTCGTTGATCACAAGTTTGGCCTCAAACTTGTGATATTCCTGTCTTGGCCTCATAAACTGCTGGGATTACAGGTTTGTACTACTATGCCTGGCTGGAGTAAGCAAGGCAGAGAGCAAAGAGCTTATGTCCCAATGAAAGGCATCGGAGGACAGGCAATATCATTATATAGAGAGTGTTAGGAAGCAGAAAACATGGAGTTGAGGAGATGGGACTACTGGTACAAAACTAAAGGAATGTCTCTCAAGAGGTAAGTATAAGGGAACTCCATGGCCAGCAGAAGAAACTAGTGGAGCAAAGGCCTGAGGAGGAAGTATCTGGCATGTTTGGGGAGCAGGGAGAATAATACTGTGACTGGAGGTAGGTCAATAGGGAAAAATCAGTATCATGTGGGTCTCATGAACCACTACTGTAACTCTGGCTGTTACAAACACAAAGAACTGGGGCTGGGGCTGTAGCTCAGTGGCAGAGCACTTGAATCCAGTGTGAGGCACTGAATTCAATCCTTAGAACCACATTAAAAAAATAAAATAAAGGCATGCTGTCCATCTACAACTAAGAACAAAACAACAACAACAAAAAAAACATGCAAAACTTTTGTGGCAAACAAGATGTGATCTGATTCATGTACTAAAAGAATTTCTTTCTACTAAGAAGACCACAGATTAGGGTGGTAAGGTGAGCTTGAAAGCAGGGACACCAGGCAGGAAGCTCTTGCAATAATTCAGGCAAGAAAATAAGGTGGTTTGGACCAGAGAAAAGTCTGGACATGCTGAGAAGTAATTTGATCCTGGATACACTTTGAAGGAAATATCAATTGGATTTCTTGGTACATTGGATATGGAATGTGAGAGAAAAGAACCAACGGGACTCTGAGGTGTTTGACAGGACCTAACTGCCATTGCTTAAGCTGGGCGAGGCTGTAGGTAGAATGGGTCTGGAGGATGATCCAAAGTTGTTTGGATATACTATCAAGAGTTGACATGGAAATGTGGAAGACAGTTGGTTCTTGAGACTGGGGTTCAGGAGACAGCTTGAGCTAGAGACAAAAATTATAGTTCCAGATAGAATGTAGGCTTCAGAGCATGGTTATGATGTAAAGGGAGTAAGTGTGGACAGAGAAAAGACTTTGCAATCTAGTGTTAAAGGGCCCCACTTATGGCAGGATGTCCTGGTAGATGTCTCAGCCCACTCCTCAACCGGTGGCCTCAGAAGCTACTGCTTCAGGGAAAGTCCCAGAACGAAATATCCAGGGAGTAAGGTACTGCTTTAATTTGTCTCTGACCTTTCAGAGTGTTGACAGTTTAGCAGTTTAGAGGTGGTGGCTCCTGAAGCTTCCCTCCATTATGGACACTGAGGCAATATCTGGGGGAGAAGGTAAGCATCATTTCCCCCCTTCACCTTCTTTCTCATTATTTTTCAAGGAACCAGCACAACAACACTTTTTCTCCAAGCATGACAACCGCACTTCCTTTGACAAAGTGAGTGCTACAGACAGGCAAGAGAAGAGACAATCCCCCAGCCCAAGAGGAAGTTGAGCATACAGCAGTTGGTAGGGTGGAGTGAATTAAGATCCTAAAGAAAGGGAGGGTTCTTTAAACAGGCAGAGGAGTGCCTATTTCCCCCACAATATTTCTCCTCTGGGAAACTCTTATTCTTTTAAGAGTGGTACCTCTGTTTTGGTTTCCTCTGCCAACTTGCCCCAATACTATATGCAAGTCTGCTGGGGGGCCACTGGATTTTCAGGACCCCATTTCCACAGCAGAATGGTTCCCATCACTGAGGAGGCAAGCCAATGAGGACAGGGGACAGGCCAGGGAGGCCAAGTATGGGCTAGGCATCACCAAACAGATTTGGGATTAGATGGGGCCCAAGGAAATGCTTGGTGCCAAGACTGTGGGCCAAGGGCCCATACCGTTGAGGAGGGCCCCTACTGCCTGCTGCAGGGAATTGGAAGACGGAAAGACCTGGAGCGCCTCTGGCAGCGGCACACCTTCCTTCGCTGGGCACCTTGCGAGCTGGAGTTGAGCCAGCAGCGGCCCCTGGAATCTTCCTACCAGTCCGATTTCCGGCCAGGCCCAGGACTCAGTAGCTTCCCACAGCGCCTCGTCCACTTTGTGCAGGTTCAGCCTCCCCACGTGAGCACCACCTACCAGCAAAACTTCTGCCAGCCATCCCGGGGTGGCCACTGTGGTAGTGACAAGGTAGGACCCCAAACACCGGTCACCAACATTCTGCCTGACCTCCCAGGGATCCCAAGACCCAAGATGCTACAGCACTATCTTCACAGTGGGGTCTCTGAGTGTCTAAACTGGTCTGGAGCATTAAACAAGGACAGCTAACAGAGCAACCTGTCTGTACACAGAAGTCTCATGGGTTGGTGAGCAGTAGTGCTCTGCCATTGGCACTGCTGTCCATGACTGTTGGGCTAGGGAGGTGCTGCCCTGGGGAGCCCTGCCACCAAGTGAGAATGGATAAGGCCTGAAGGAGGCTCAAGAGTCCAGGACAGTTACCATGACCATGGTAAGTTGGTTCCAGGGACCCAAATGTTTCTTTGAAATTGCAGTAAATCCAGCTGTGAGCCCCTTGTACTCAGTAAAGCTTTAAGGAAAGCAAAGCCAGAAACTCCTACTTGTGGGCATTAAAGGCTGGAGAAAGACGGAAGGACTGGCAGCTTCCTCCAGGATACTGCTGCCCTTGAGAGGTTTGGTGAGTGGCCACAGTCCTGCCCAAGAGATGGCTGTCCCACATCTAGCACTCAGGGAGACCCACCAGACCACCCCTCCCTATGAGATGAGCTGAAGCCTTAAAGAGACAATGTGACTTGGAATGGAGTATATCCTAACCCTGTAAAGTTTCATTTTCTGAGCTCTTCTCTGGTCATCCTACCTGTGTCCAGAACATCCAAGATAGTAGAAGAGGGCTGTCATCCAATGTCACCTAAGGCAAAGCTGAGGCTTATGTGGGGCAGAGACACCAGATCACTTTGGGGATAGAGACCAGATCCAAGAGGCTTCCTGTGGACCTCCCTTATCCCTGGGAGAGTTGAAGCCCTGAAAGGAGGACAGAGACCATGAGGGTAACAAGGGAGTCCACACCAGGATCCCCACATCAGATTTCAGGAATACTTTTACTTTCATATCCAAAATTCCTAGATCCTCACAACAGCCCTGTGAGGTAGGTAGGGTAGGAAAGTTTCAGAGATCCTCATTCACAGACGAGGATGTTGAGGCACAGAGAGGTGAAATGACTTGCCCAAGGTCATACAACCAGCAACGTAGAGGGCCCAAAGTCACAATTCTTCTTGCCCTCTGGCAGTTTTTACGTCCTTTCCTCCATTCCCTCTGTGTCCCTCACCCTCTCTGAATATACCTAGGTCTGCAGGAACCTTCAAGATAGGCTGGGATTTTTCAGGAATGACCACTTAGATGATTCTGGCTAACTCGAGATAGTCAATGCCTATCCTACAGGGTGTAAGGCCAGCTCTCTCCTGAGCCCACTTTCCTGTTGGACACAGGGCCTAGGGGGCTCCTGGGTAAGGGTGGAGCTAGAATTATGGTTCATGAATTAATTGTGGTAAAGTTAGATGTGAGCATATACTTGGCCTATACTAAAGACAAAGGCTCCCTAACCCAAGCCCCCAAAGGAATGCCTCAAGTGCCTGTCCATATGCCTCCCTTATCCCAGAGCCATATAGAGCTCCTTCAGCAGCAAATGGAGCCACAAACACCTGCTCCTGTACTGAGCTGCTCCAGTGAACAGACCCAACCAGGCCTTCAGACTCCATCACACAGACATAGTGCCTCTACAGCTTGACTGGGGCCCTGGGCCACACCCCCAATAACAAACAGCCGGGGCCCTGCCTGTAGGCTAGAACAGGAGCAGCGAGCTGTGGGCATGGCAGGCAGTGCCTCCCAGCGCCGACGTGTAAGACTGAAGCTCTCCACGGAGCCAAGAGGGCATGGCTGGTTTCCTGTAGGAGAGACAGAAAGTTGTAAGGGGGTTCCAGGCCCTTTTGCTCACTGAGCCCAAAAAATAGCCCTTGACATCACTCCAGGATAGGCTACAAGTGCCTTGCTCCTCATTGTCCCTGTTCAGCATTTGTTCATTCATTCATTCATTCATGTTTTGATTTGTCCACTTGGCCACACATTCAGTGATCACCTTGTCTTGTTTCTGTCTCCTAGAGCCCTGATGGCACATAGACCCCCCAGTCAGGCACTGGGCCAGGCAGATCACAACCTGCTTTTGTCACAGACAAGGAAAGGGAGATCACAAAGTCCTGACCTCTGGAGTGTCTAGAGAAGGGGGTGTTCCTGCTGGGGGCTACTCTTTTCTGTCTTGGGCTCCCTTCTTCTCCCTAGCCCCACAAAAACTTACCAAGACCCCCGATGGCCAAGATGTGGCCCCCAAGGGAGCCAACCACAAAGTCTGCCCTCTTATCCCTCATACGCAGGCTGCGAGGCAGCTTGGTCCAGGACCCTGCAGGAAAGGGGAGGTCACATCTAACCACACATACATACTATGTCCCTCCATCCCACAGAGAGTAGGAATACAGCCCAGGACAGCCACTGCTTACCATGTTCTAGATCAAACATTTCCACAGTGTTGACAAAATGTGGACGGGAGTAGAAGTTGTGGGGCCCAGGCTGCTGCAGGCCACCCAGGCTAAAAACATTGCCTTCAGCCATGGCACAGCCAGCAAAGGCCCGGCGGCTAGGCAGGCTCGGATGCCGGGTCCAGGTACGGGCCTCCAAATCAAAAGCTTCAAAAGCAGTCACTGGGAGCTTGCCCTGGCGGCCCCCTGCCAATGGAATTGGGACACACAGTCCAGGGAACTTGATGGGCTCCTCATTCACCAAGTTGCAGATCTGTCTGCCCCAGCCTCCCAGGCACAGCTGTGTGCACATCCGCATGTGGATCATCTACCACACAGTTGCTCAGGCACTGGGGTTTGGTTTTCCAACCTCAGCAGGGCCACCAGCAGTCAGAGCCTCAGAGTAGTCCTGGATCATCCCAACAAAGCTTCTCAAGTCCTGCCATCTCAGACTGAGCTAGATCCCTCCCACACCAATATATGGTGATGGACTCTAAACCCCTTTCTTACATCTCCCAGACCCTTACCCAAGACATAGATCTTGTTCCCATGCAGGAAGGTAGAAGCCCCATAGCAGGGTGTGGGCATGGAGGGTAGCGAAAGCCAGCAGTCACGGCGGGGCTCATATACCCGTACCTGGGCCTGGGGGGCCGTGTCAGGGCCCATTCCTCCCAGGGCATACACCATACCATCTGCATAAAAAAAGAATAATTCAGACTGCATTCCAGCCTAGCTAAGGTAGCCCACCCTGACAGCTGCCCTAGTCATGCCTGGAGTGGCTAGAAACCCATGGTATTTGTTTAAAACCCTGCTGCACATCTGGGGTGAAAGCTGGGAGAGGTAGGATTCTAGCTCTGGCCAGGGCCCCTCTGAGTGAAGAGCAGGAGGCGGCTGATCTAATTATAATCCAGCTCTGTCTCCCTGGAGACGCTATGGCAACCAAGTCTGGCATCCAAGCAGGGCTGGTCTAGGCCAGTGGTCAGACCTGGAGGCCACAAGGTAGGGGCTCCCTTGTTAGGGGTCATTTAAACCAGGTGTTGGTGGCATATGGGTAACTGCTTAGCATGAAGCTCAGTCTAGGGAGAAGATTGGAGATCACTTGGCATGGGGGCAGGGCTGGGAGAAGGCTTAAGCCTATAGGATAGAGGTGAGGGCCACAGGCCTTCAGCATCAGTCTCCCTACCAGCACCTCTACACCATACCCTTACACTAGCTTAGGTTCCTGCCTTCTGTTAAGCCCTCAGAATGAGCTAAGTGCATGTCTAGTAGCCTTGGGGTGATGTGCCTGTCAACTGGGTTTCCATGGCAACCATCTTCAGGTCAGCTTGGCCTTTGTCCATATGAGGATCCCTGGTGTGTATGTGTATATAGTGGGGGAGTCTAAGCACTTAAGCATTTGCTGGGCTCTGAGCCAAGGCCCTGCTTCCCTCCCCCAACCCAAGACTATTTATAACCATGAGAGTCATTAGGCCACCCCCCCCCTACTGTCTCTAAGAAATGAGGAATGGGGCAGGGTGGTGGCTGAGACCTATCATTCTGGGGACCCGTCTGTGGTTCTGTCCTCACCTCATAGCCAGAAAAGTCAGTTAACAGCCCAGTTCAGAGGGAGACATGAGAGGATACAGGAAGCAAAGCAATGTCTGGGCAGCTCTTGTCTAGTCTCTGAGAGCAAGGGACCAAGTCAGGACAGAATAGAGGGTTTGGGACACTTTGAGACCTTCCTTGGGAAGCCACTCACCTCTCTCTACAGTTGCAACACCCATGGCTGCTTGAGGAAGGGTGGCCCGACGCTCCCAGCGGCCTTCATCAGCTAGGAAGGCCTCCACAGCAGCTACTGGACTCTGGATTTCATCCACACCCCCCACCACTAGCACCTGCTTGCCCAGAACCACAGCAGCTGCACCAGCTCGGGCAGTGGGCAGAGGCGCCAGTGCCAGCCATGTGTGCGAGGCCATGTCCAGTGTTTCGGCAGTATCCAAGGGTAACCCAGACCGGCCACAGCCCCCCAACACCAGCACCTGCCCATCCTGGTGCGCCACTGTTCCATACACCCGGCAAGTGGGCATGGGGGGAAACACCTGCCAAGCAAAGGTGTGGCCACCACCTGCAGCCATGTCATTCACTGCTGTGGCAGGCCATGCTATCTGCTCAGGCTGTAGGCCTTACTGGGGAGACATGATAGAATCTCATCTTGATTCTGCCAAGGATGCGAGGAGTGTCTGAGCAGTCCAGGGAATTGCCTCCACCTGGAGGAGAAAAGGAAAAACAGGGTCGGGGCTTCCTAACCATCCTTTAGGGAAACAGTCGCAGCTTGTTGCTGAAGGCAGGGCAGGCTAAAATCACTGGTGGGAAAAGTAGGGGAAAGATCTACCCCTCTGACTAGCACACCTTCTGGAGTGGGAAGGAGGACATAAAGAGTGGTCTCCTCTGTATGGGGGCATGAGGGATGTTCCTCCCCAACCCCTGTGCTAACAACTAGGAGCAACTCAGTCAATCTGGGTCTAGGTAGAGAGAAGGTGACTAGAACAGAACTCTCCAGCCTAGTGCCCTTCCTTTCCTCTCAACAAGCCTCATCCTGGTTCTGCATGAGGTAAGTACTGCTAAATCTGGCTTCCAGTGTGCCCTGGGCAGCCTGGGATCCATCCATTCTGGTCCCCCACCTGATTCTAGGGTATCCTTACACCACCATTTCACAGTGTTCAACCATTCTCGCCAGCAAAAGACCAGGGTCCGGGGTATCTGAGGCTCAGGAGGCCGGGTGCCAGGGATCCACACTCCCCTAGAGGTTCACCCTCAAGGATTTCCCCATGCTAGCAGATTCCCTGGCGTCTAGAAGAAGGGGGTACTGGTTTGGGGAATCTCAAAACACAGGACTCTAGGGTACCAGAAGCCAGGGCGTTTCTTGTAGGAATGCGCAGCTGGACTACTCAGTCCCTTAAGAGCGGGATTCAAGTTCTTCAGCTTTCCCTTTACCTGGGGGTTTCCACTCAGACCATGGTTCTCCTCCTGGCCCCAAACTTCCAGTTCGCTGAGGTGGGGGCAGGTCTCGGCAAGTGCGCTTGGGGGCTCTACGCTCCACGCCCCAAACTTCCCCTGAGCGCGGATCCCGTGGGACTCACCCGCCGGGGTTCCGTGCCGCCGGGGCACGGGGTCCGCCGTTCCGCCTCCGCTGACGCCCGCTCTGGCTAGGGCTGTAGCCGAGCTCCGGCGGGGCTCCTGCACCGCTCGGGCGTGGGGCGGGGCTGGACCGGGTCCGCCCCTCGCTCCCCCTTCCCCAGACTCTGGGAAACCTCCTCCCGCCTTAACTCTGCACGTGCCGCGGCCGAAGAAGGGCGCACGGACCCACGAACACACACAAATGAACAAATAAATGGACATGTGGAACGTGGGCCTGCCAGGATTTAAGGTCCGACCCCAGGCGGGAGTAGAAATGAGGCAGCGCGGCACAATGCCGGTATGGTGAGGGGTCCGTCTGAGCCGGACCCAGCTTGAGTAAGCAAGGCCTGGAATCTGCGGGCTTGAGGGGCCGGCGCCAGTCCAGAGCAGTTGAGTTTGGAGGAGCCCAACTACCGGCTTTTCGGCTGCGCCATCTGGAGGCCACGTAAGGCGTGGCCTGGGTCTCTATTCCGGGGTTGCGGGCTCATTGCCCTAACCCAAGCACAAAACAGGGCGCAGAATAGATCCTATAGTGCATATTAAGATCAGCAGGGGATGGAGGAGCAGACAGTGGCCTCAGGGTCTCATAGGCCTGGGTGGAAGGAATTCTTGAGTAGCTGTGAGCAGAGGATGAACTAGAAGAGTCAGAGGTCAGAAGCCCTCCCAGGTGGGTCACTGGTCTCATCCTGTGAGGTCTGAGACTGAGGCTACTCTGGGGCCCAAGGTACTTTTGAGACTGCATCTTTAGGTTCCAAGGCCTGCATCTAGCCAACTCTAGAGTTAGGTGAGAGCAGATTGGTGTGGCAAAGACGCAACTAGCTCAGACTCAGACCTTGGAGCATTTGGAGCATTGGAGCATTCAGAATATTACCTGAGTCTTTGAGCTGGGGACTCACTTGTACAAGTCAGAGGTTACCTAAGGGAAGAGGTCCTTGCAGTAGTGTGTCAGTTTACTGCTTTGTTCTTTTTCTTTCTTCTATTCAAGGTACTGGTGATTAAACATAGGGACATTTTACCACTGAGCTACATCCCCAGCTCTGTTTTTTATTTTGAGTCAGGGTCTCACTAAAGACCTGATGAGGCTGGCCTCAAACTTGTGATCCTCCTGCCTCAGCTTCCCCAGTTGCTGGGATTACATATATGCACCACCACACTGGGCTCCTTGTCCCTCTTTCACAGGTTGTGTGAGTATGTGTCTGTGTTTTCCCCACAGCAGATTAGAGGCAAAGATACAAGTGCAAATCATTAGTATGGGTGATGAAGTCAGAGAGCATCAACAGATGAGTACAAAGTAGACAGGGGATGGGCTGGGGTTGTGGCTCAGTGGTACAGCGCTTGCCTAGCATGCCTGAGGCACTGGGCTCGATCCCCAGAACCAAGTAAAAATAAAAAGTAAAGGTATTGTGTCCATCTACAACTAAAAAAATTTTTAAAAAAAGACAGGGAAAGCAGCCACTAAAGAAGGTATCATCAAGCAGGTTACTACTGTGGGCAACTGGGACCACATGATCCTTCTGGGAATTTTAGAAGCTAGTGTAGAACATGGGCCTACAGAGCAGTGGGAGCTGAGGTTCTCATTCTCAAATCCCCATTAGTTATGGGTGGAGAACTATTTGGGGGCCTACCTGACTTCTGGCCTTTCCAGATTGTGGGTAAACTCTTCCCTATGGCCACAGAGAGAGCCTTCAGCCTTTTCAGGGGATGGCAGTTGAAGTCAGAGACCAGCACGGAAATGGTGGTGCCTTAGCTAGTTACAGACTGCATAGACCTTGACTAGAATTCCTACCCCACTTCACCCTGACTTGCTTCCACACTTGAGGCACTTCACCCCAGGGAATGCGCTAACTGCCCTGAGGACCCTTCGGGGGTTTCCCCTCTCCAAGCCCCTATCCTTTTCGGAAGTTAGGTATTTACAAGCTGCCTGTCTTTAGTTACCTCCTAGGACCAAATTCCTCTAGTCTATCCTTTCCCTCCAGTCAAGTTCTTCAAGCCATCTACCCTCATAGGCTCTCCTGCCTTGTTTTTTGCCATGTCAATCTGTTACCACTTCTTCCCCAAAAGTGTTCTTGAAAAATCATTATAAAACTAAAACTAGAGAGTAAATATTAGTTTGTCTTGGCTGAAGTTTTGCTGACATTTTCATCTCTTGTGACCTCAGCTTTCTCTTGCTGCTTTGCTTGTCTTGTGTCTCAGAATCTTTTGCTGGCTCTTCTTCCTTTCCCTACCCAGAGCTCAATCTCTGACCCCAGCTTTCCTCACATTCTGGCTCTTGGGGAAATCTCTACCAGGCTGCTGCCTTCGCTCACATCTAAATCTCTACCAGATCTCTCTACTCAGGTGGATATGGGTCCAGAGTCTACTTAGATGATACAAGGTACCAAATGGAAAACAGGATAGATTCTGGGATCATCTTCCCAAGATGAGGTAGACTCTTCACATTTCATCCTGTTTGATTCCATTTATACCTTTGGCATCCGCCAAAGTCTCGGTCAAGTCAGATTGCGCTCTGATGAGTGCTCCCACAGAGTTTCATGTGGGACTTTCTGGGCATCATTTATACCTTTGGCATCCGCCAAAGTCTCGGTCAAGTCAGATTGCGCTCTGATGAGTGCTCCCACAGAGTTTCATGTGGGACTTTCTGGGCATCACCCCCTCAGGGAGCTAGGTACCCTATGATACTTACCCCTAACCTCCACCATCTCTCTAGTTCCCATAATTAACAGGTACAGAGAAGGATGGACCTACCCCTCTTGCCCTGAGCTATGGACTGGACATCACCAAAGAGAGATCTCCTTTCCAGGATATACCTGGGCTGGTGCCATCCCTGGAGGTCAAGCTCTTCCTATTCATGGAAATGGTTTCTGTTTGCATAACCATGGCCCAGCCAAATACAGGGGAACAAAACTGCTGGTTTGGGAAGACAACTAAAGTAGATGGTAAGATTCTATTGGCCCGAGAATAAAAAACCAATCCTCTCAACCATAGATAGGCCATAGAAAAGGCTAGTTAGAGATTGGAAATGCCAAGTTGGTAGCCCATGAGACCCTGGCTGGTGGGACCCCACACTTCCTTTCTAGGGCCTAAAAACACTAATCCCAGAGGAGCAGGAGATTTTGCAATTCTTGCTGGACATCTGGACTATGTATCAGTGTGGAGACCCTGAGAAGCTAAGGGCACCAGGTGAGGCCTAGGGCATTGCTGAGTGGAGTGGGTGCTTATATTTAGGAGTGTCTGAATCCTTCTAAAGACAAGGAAATAGAAAGCAGCCAGAGGATTCTGAGGTCATATGGGAAGGGAAAAGGACAAGTACCCAGACCCTAAAAGAAACTTCTAGCCATCCTCTTGTGATTGCTAATAGACTTCTACCTTCCCCCAACTACCAAATATGGCACCATTACAAAGATTAGGGTACAAGAATTGTGGCCATATTTCTGCCTTCTGTGTCAGGCTCTGACCAAATTCATATGCCCCTACTATCACACCCATGAAACCAGGACTCCCATGATGGCTCCCAATCTGGATTCAGGAGATCCTGACAAATGGAGCTTTTGGTCAAACTTTGTGCAGACCATTCTGCCTCATCTGAAGGCACAGACCCCAAGGGATAATTTTGACCTGAGTTCTCTAATTTGGTGCTACAAGAGTAGTGGATCACCATCATTCTGATGGCTATAGCAGATGCAAAGACTGATGTCCCACTCTCCTAGGCAAAAGGATAGGGGATCTGGGCAGTGTTAAGATTGGAGGTGGAACTTTTGTGCCATTGATGAGCTGAGGCTGGACCAGGGCCTCTCCATAACATTAGTGCACATATGCCTAGGTAAGTATACTCAGGCCTACATTGGTATACTGTGGTTTAAAGACTAGACATGAATATCTTTGGACTTCCGTATAGCACTTATGATCACATGGGTATACCACTCTTTCATTGATGTATAGTGGGCTCCATTTTCAGGAAGACAGGAGGGCCTTTTCTCCTCAGAGGAGATACCTTTGCTGCATAACATAGGGGCTACCCTGAGACACTTCCTATTAGGGAATACTCCTTTCATCCTCTGGTCAGATGCCTGGGACAGAAGTGGGCTTTGTCAGTTTCTACAGGAGGACCAGAGTATGGAAAATGGCCTGGACCTTGCCAGGAACCACTCCCAGATGTCAGTGCATTACCAAGGCCTCTTAGGATGTCAGATGGCCCCCTAATCCAGCCCTACCTGGACTCAGTAGTCTTGCCTGAGGCTGCGCTCGAGGGTGCCTTTGATACTCAGACTCCTGAATTGTACCAGATGGGTTTGTGGCGGTCTTCGCGGCCACCACCTCCAGGCGGTCCTCCCGGGTACCCAATCTGCCTCGCCCCCAGACTTTGGGGGGAAATGGGGTCTCGGGGGTCAAGGGTCATTAGGGCGGGCCCGGCCCCGGAAGCGGAAGCTCGGCCCACTTCCGGCACGCAGCGGGCGGCCATGTTGGAGCATCGGAGGCGGCGCAGAGGTGCGTCCTGGGTCCCCGCGGCGGCGCCGGTAGGTTGGAGCCGCGGGCCTAGCCGCGCCGCGGAGTGGCGGCCCGCGAGGCGGCAGGGCGGAGGGCCCGGGCGGCTGACGCTTCCCGGACCCGCGTTCTCCGCTGGTTTGGCCCAGGCCCTCACCCCTCCCCCATTCAGCAACCCCACCCTGGGGCTGCGCGGTCCGGGTCGAGCTAGGACGGCCCACCCTACATATTTCATTGCCGCTGTGACCCCTGCCCCGCCTTCTCCTTTTGGGCTCCTGGGACGCGGATTTCTAGCCAAAGGGTCTCGATATGCCCCTTGACACCATTCCTCTTGTCTGGCGCCTCACCCGACCCCATCTTTGGTGAGCCTCCCCTGCTGGCCCAGAGGCACTTGTGAAGGCAAGTTCGGGCCCCGGCTGCGTCCTGTTTCCGAAGCCTCTTGAAAGCCGAGAAGACCCTTACCATGGGTTCCCACTGACCTAGGCGAAGAGCCCCGGGGTCATCCTAGTATCAGCGCCGGGGGTTGCAGGTGGGAATAAGCCTCTCTCTATTCTACAGTTCACTGCCCTGGGAACTACATCCCCTCAAATAAATAAATAAAAGAACTAAAAGTCATGTGCAAGGATTGTGCTTGTAGAGCGGCCTCTGGGGAGGGGAAGTGCCTCAGACACCTGAGGATCCAAGAATGTTTCCAAACAAAGAGCCCTAGGGCACTTCCTCCAGGGGATTCTGAAGACTTCATCTGCTCTATTAGAGCGGTGGGAACAATCTGTACAGCCAGTCCTCAAGGCCCCAGGGACCTGCCTGATCCCAGCTGATCTTTTAATGCTCCAGTGCAGCCGGGGAGCTGCCACTTGCCTATGGGAACCCTGAAACTCTGGGTTGGGTACTAGATAATAGTCATGACTGATGTACACAGCTTCAGAGAAGCCTGGGACAACTTGAGTGTTCCCTTCCCAGACAACTCTGGGATGTTCTGCTGTCTGTTGCCCTCTAAGCTCTGAGGTTGGAGGTCTCAGGCCTTTGCTGTTCTTGTGACTTGCCATCCTATACAGAGCCTTTTTCTTCCACTGACTTCAAACCTTGGGCTTTTGGTCTGGCTGCCTGATCCCCAGGCTGCCTGGTTGCCTAGAGATTTCATCTGTACCTGTTACTCATCAGCTTTTTAGTGAGTCTCTGTCTTTGCCTGGGGTTGGTCTCCATGACTCTAAAGCAAGGATTTGGACTATCAAGTAGCCTCTGAAAGCAAAACTTCTGGGCAGAGACACCCCCCACCCCCACCCAACCAGCACTGAACACCAGCAGCTGGAGGCACACAGATGAGTGTGGACTTTGGGTGTAAGTGCGGGCCCTTTGGCAAAACTTCAGAGCTGGGAAAACAGTCCTACCCTTGACCTGTTTTCCCAGCTAAACTCAGCCTGGCCCCAGACTCCCCATCAGATGTGCCTTACTCTTTCACAGTTCAGAGCCAGTGTATAATCTTCATTTCTACCTGGTACTTTTCTATTCATTACTCATCCTAGGTAGATGTTGCCTCTTGCAGGAGTTCTTTCCTGACTTATTGGTAAGCTAAGCTTGGTTACACCATATGCTCCTAAGAGCATTAATGGTGCCTGTGACTTACCTTCTGGACAAGGCTCATTGAAGACAGAGATGTTGGCTTGTGCTCCCAGGGCTATCTAATTAGGTTTTTGGCATCAGAAAAATATAGATTTAATAAGGACTGGGGATGTAGTGGTAGAACACTATCTCGGTAGTAGAGCACTTGCCTAGCATGAGCAGAGACCCAAGTTTGATCCCTAGAACCACAAAAAAAAAAAAAAGAAAAATTTTAAGCCTTAGATGGCTGCACACCTATAGTTCCAGCAACTAGGGAGGCTTAGGTGAGAGGATCATTTAAGCCTGTAAGTTTAGGACCAGCTGGGACAACATAGCAAGATTCTGTCTCAAAAGAAGGAAAAGAAAATGTAGAAATTAATTAAAATGAACTAGATTTAAAGTTTTCCAGGAGCCCAGGAGCAGGTTAGGTTCTTCTGAGCTACTGAAAAATGGCTAATCAATACCCACTCCAGAATGGTTGAGGGTCATCAGACTAGGGTTTTACCCCAGGAAATGACTCACTCTGGCTAGTTCCCTCAGTGACATAGAGAATGGCGTCGCTGATAGACCTGTCTACTTGCTTTGGCTCCATATCTTGGGGCCATTCTTATTGACTCTTTTCTTCTTGCCTTGGAGGTGCCAAGTGCTGATTTACGGATACCTAGGCAGATCTGCAGTGCCTAATGCCATGAGTGTGGTGGTGCAGCATGTGGAGGAAAAAGCTGTGCACTCCTGGTCGCGCATCTCCACAGCAGGAAAGAAGGCCCTGGAAGAGGCGCTGCTTGTCTTTAACCCCATGAGCCAGGATCTCAGTGCCACAGAGGCCCAGCTTGTGGCCTTTCTACAGGGTCTGCGAGATGATGGCTTCCAACCTACCATTCTACGCAGTGGTGATGTCTATGGGTATAGTTCATGTACAGCCAACCCTCCAAGCCAGACGAAACTACAAGCTCGTGCCCCCATCTCAGCTGCCACATCACCTCCAGCCAGTGCTCCCCGAACTGCCATTCAGCTGCCCTCAGGCAGGGCCACATTGCTCCCCATGCCACTGTCTGGCAGGCTGGCCAAAGGGTCCACACCAACCCTCACCAAACATGCTACCACCAATCTGCTGCTGAGCTCCCTGAAGCAATCAAGTGCCAGCCGTGCCAAGGGTGCAACAGTGGGCTTCCCTGCTCACCTCTATCCAAGTGTCTACCCTGCTATGCGGCTTTCAGTTGTCCTTGAGGCTCTGGTTCCACTCAAGACTCCCATGCCTTGCTTAGGTGCTAGGCACAAGGCACAGTCACTAAGACTTTCACTTGCAGACTCTCCCCTGAAATTGCGGAAAGGTTCAGGGAAGGGTCCAGGGAACCCCCAGCCCAAAGCTCCCAGAAAAACAAACAAGGGCCCCAAGTGTCTGACTCGCAAAGGCCCTGGGACTGGACCCCAAGGAGGCACTGGGCTCCAGAGCAAGACTTACAGAACCACTGGTTCTCTCAGTGATCTGCAAATGAAAGGGGGCTCTGCCCTGAGCACTAAATCAGACCAGGCCAAGGCAGCTCAAACAGTGTCCAGAGCTGCCTATGCCCATGCCAGTGTGATTCGAACACAGGCCAAGGCAGCCAAAGCTGATGCAGCACAAGTCAAGGCTAAGGCCAAGGCAGTGCAGGCCAAGGCCAAGGCAGTCAAGGCCAAGGCCAAGGCAGTGCAGGACAAGGCAGTCAAGGACAAGGCAGTTAAGGCCAAAGCAGCTCAGACCCAGCCCAAGGGCAGGGGCAGGCCAAAGGGATCTGCTCAGGCCAGAACTGCAAGGAAGGGCCAGAAAACCTACTCTGAGACTGTGGGGCAGAAGAGGAAAAGGGCTGAGGAAGCAAAGGACCTTCATCCTAAGAAGAGAACACGGCTGGGGCCTCGATCTCCTAAGTCATGGCTGGGGCCAGCAACAGCAAAGCTCCTAAAGTTCCGGGCCATAAAGGTAGACAGGCAGTCCTCAGATGATGAGGTTCGACAGCGGGCCCAACAGATACTCCGTGTGAACCTGTCTCCTATAATATGGCTCCAGCCATTGCTGCCATACTCAACAGCCTGATTCCTTCATACAGCAATGTTTGAGAAAACAGCCCAACTGTGTGTGTGGCCAGCGGCACAGTGTGCCATGCCTGTGGACTGCAACTTTGAGGATTCTGGGTACCTCTCCAGGGCCCCTGCGGCTGCCAGTCTCCTTTCAGAAACTGGAGGATTTGTGGTGGGGTGGGTAGTGGGAGGGGTGTTCTTATGGCGCAATGCACTGTGACTTGTTTTTCAAGTTGTATGTCCACTGTTCCATCTATCATGTTTTATACCTTTCCACCTTCCGGTCTCCCTGCCCACCCTCCATGGTCTTTTATTGTGTGTGTGGCTGCTGGCAAGCCAGCTTAAGCATATAGGGAAAGTTGTCCCAGTCAGTTTGAGTGATGGGGTAGGAAGGCAGAAAGGGGAAGCATAGGCCTCTCTGGAAAGACTAGTGGGAATTTGGATACTGGCTTCTGTGGGTATGTGAGAGACAGCTCATGAGGGTACAGGCAAAGCCTCTGTGAGGTAGGATACTTCACCTTGAGGCTGCCCTATTTTTTATCCAGTCAGACCCCGTATAGTAGGACTGGGCAGCTCAGTGGGGAACCTTGCAGCTAGCAGTATTTTAGGCCAGGGAAGGGAGACTTTGTGGTACTGCTACTGGGGGACAAAAGATACCCTGGCTTTGTCTGGAATGGGGCCAAGCTTAAAGGGGTTGAAGTGCCTCTGCTGAGAATGCACTAGCTTGTTTCTCCAGTTGGTGGTAAAGGACTGGGCATTCAGTTAGGACTATAGAGCCTGCCTTCACTGACCAAAGAATTTTCTTAGTTATGTAGGATATCTGAGTTTCCATCTCTGCTTCATCAGCAGTGCTTTTCAAGTGCTTTGTTGACTCCCAGGTACAGTTTCACCATGCCCCCCTATCACAGACCTGTATATTTCAGGTGTTATTGGCACATCCTGCTTTGGAGGGAGGGCTGGGCCTTGAATGCAACCAGCTGCCCTATCCATCTATAGTTCATCACTGATTGCCCAGGCTATATAACAGTGGCTGAGCACATAGGGAGGGAGACACATTGCCCAAAGGCTCCTGGGGACAGCATTTCAGGGATGGAGGGGAGAGCTTTGTTTGGATGAGAATCAGATCCTCTCTGTCTCTGGGTTTGTCTGAGCCCTACTATTGCTAGTTTCCCTGAGTGGTGGGCCTGTGGAGAAGCTCTAGATGTTCCCCGCCCCCTTTATTCTGCCCCTGGGTACTGCTAAGTAATTAACTATTAACGTCCTTCCCCTGAGTGTATTGTCCTCCCTTGGTTCCCCAAACTCTGAGGACATCTTTGTAACCATCTGTGCTGTAACCCTTCAATCCTGCATGCTACTTACCCTCTGGGTTCTGCTTTCATTGTGAGAATGGGAAAGACCTAAGGGCCACACTACCTCTTCAAGGGCTGCCTTTTGGGACCCACTCTGTATTTTCCCTCATGCCTGATTCCAGGTCCCAGCATTTATGACTCCTGGTAGAGTTGGGTCTCCTTCCATTTCTATTGCTGCCACCAGTGGGTGAGGGTTGGTTGTTTGCAAGAGGGCCAAGCAGAGGGGGAGGAGGAATCTGGCCTCCTGGTGGGATGGGGTGAAGTAGGGGTATCTCAGATTTCTACTTAAGACTCTACCCCACAGCCGAGTGGGGTGGCGCATGCCTGTAATCCCAGCAGCTCAGGAGGCTGAGACAGGAGGATCGCATGTTCAAAGCCATCCTTAGCAATAGTGAGGCACTAAGCAACTCACTGAGACCCTGTCTCTAAATAAAATACAAAATAGGGCTAGGGATGTGGCTCAGTGGTTGACTGTTCCCTGAGTTCAATCCCCAGTACCATAAAAAAAAAAAAAAAAAAAAAAGATTACACCTCCCAGTCCCAGCTCCTAGATCAGTTGGCCAGAGGGTGCCAGGTGTACTCACTTGGCTGCTCAAGCAACAGTTGTTACCTGTCCCCTGGCAACTTGGTTGTTGGTAAACCAAAACCTCAAACTTCATCCACCTGTGACCTTCATGGCCCCATACAGTATTGTATTGTCTGTTACCCTGCAGGTAGGTAAGAGAGTGAGAGCCCTGAAGACTGCTGTCTTTGAGTTGTGGGGGCAGTTTCTTTGGGGTGTCCTGGATGGGTTAGAGTCCTATGGGGGTCTGGGTCATTGCTGGGGGCTGGAGGGAGCACCCTGTGCTATGATATTTTGGAATAAGAAGCTGACCTGCACCTCCTGCCTAGTCAAGTCTCCCTGGGCCCTCCCTGACAACTCAAGAATTGCTGCTTTTATGACCAGGGAGGTCATGACATGGAGAATGTGATCTCCCAGAGTGGCTGTGGAAGGAACAAGACCTGGTGGCAGACAGAGTGGTAAGGGTACTGGTGTGGCCCTAGGTGGAAGTCTAGGGTCAAGGCCTGATTATGGATTAGATCTAAGGTTGACTATGTTGAAATTGCCGCTATTCATCTGGACCTAAAGGATATCTCTACCCCTTTTATTATCGTGAAAAGTGCCCCAGACTGAAGGCTTGCCCAGCAAGTGCTGATCCTATGCCTCCCTACTTGATGGTCACCAAGGATGCTTATCCCTGGTGACCCAAGGCCCCCTTCCTGTCTAGACATTCTACCCAACAGCTCTGCTCTTTGAGTGGACCATGCCCACTCCTAGCACATGTACCAAGGCTTTGCCAATAATTGTTTATGCTTTTTTCTTGGGATTCTCTTCTGCCCCTATCCAAAAGATCAATGACTTTGTCTATGACCAGCATTCCTTGAACATTGAGCTTTCCACTAAGGGCAAGTTCAACCCTAGAGAGGAAGGGAAGGGGTCTGGCAAAGCCTGTTTCCTCCTCTTAGATCATTTTAAAAGTTCTAGACCCTGCCATTCTAGTGGAGGACCCAAATAATCTTGTGCGTTGGAATGTCAGGACAAAGCCAGACAATGTAGGGAAATAAGGTCCTGCCTGGGGGTTTGCACTGACAGCAGGGCAGGTAGTCTAGCCAGCTCAGTTTCCTTAGCTGTGCCCCACCAGGGTCCTTTATTGTGGTCCCTGTGTTGGCTTCCCATTATTTCCCTAGAGCACAGGAACTGCAAAGGGGAGCCATCTCCATTTATCTCCTATCACTGAACCCCTTATGGAGCTCTATTGTAGTCCATTTTACTGTCCCCGTTGTTGTCCTCATCTCTGTTCTATGAGGGCTCCTCATAACTCCCCTGTTGTGGTCCTCCTGTCATTGCCCTCCTAGATTCATGATCCTTGCCTGTCAGTCCCTCTTGTCCCTGCAGTTGCTTCTAGGTGGCATCAGGGAATCTCTGGATATGAACTCTTTCTTGTAAATAAGTCTTTTGTTAAAGGACTAGAGAGCTATATAATCATAACCAGCAGAGTCAGTCCAGGAGGATACCAGAGAAGGACAGATTCTAAACAAGACTTCTTTACATGTACTAGGTATTCCCTCCCCACTTTAATTTCAGCTATTACTTACTGCTTATCCTGGGCCCTCATATTGGATCTGCAAGCTGCAGAGGAAAGAGAAGAGGCCTGTAGAGAAAAGACGTGAGAAAGCCTCAGCTTTGTGTTTAAGGTGCAGAGCAGAAAGAGAAATCAGAGACCCATCCCTTCATCCATGTGTATATTTAATAAGGGTTCTTTAAGCTCCACCCTCTGTCAGACATTTTCTTTTCTTTTAAATTGGTTTTATTTTTGAATAAAATACATGACAGTGGTGTCAGGCATTTTCTAGGCAGTTTGATGTGTGGCAGGTGGACAAGGTTTTTGTTGGAGCTAACATGAAAGCAAGAAAGACAGTTGATAGATAATGGAACATACTAATAATTTATGTGGTTAAATGGGATGATATACAGATTTCTAGTTTGGGTGAAGGACTGAGAAGTGAAATCTTTTTTTTTTTTTTTTTTTTTTTTTGGTATTGGGGGATTGAACCCAAAGGTGCTTAACACTGAGCTACATCCCCAGCCCTTTAATTTATTATTTAATATCTTTATTTTTTATATGTTTTCATGCAGTACTGAGGATCAAACCCAGTGCCTCACACGTGCTAGGTGAGCCATAACTCCAACCCAAATTTAATTAATTATTAAAAAAAATTTTTTTTTGTACCAGGGATTGAACCCAGGGGTGTTTAACACTAAGGTGCATCCCCAGCCCTTTTGATTTATTTTTTATTTTTTGAGACAGTGTCTTGCTTAGTTGCAGAAGCTATATTTGAACTTGTGATCCTTCTGCCTCAGCCTCCTGAGCTGCTGGGATTACAGGCATGTACAACTGGCTTAAAGTGGAATCCTTTACTGCATTTGGGGAAGTAGTTTTCAGATACCTGGAGATGTCAGAATGAGGTACTAGGAAGTAGTGAGATGTACAGAAGCAACATCAGAACTGGAAAAAGGGAACTCTAAGTGCATTGGTGGAATTAAACATGATTATCCCAGGATGGTACACTCAGGGGATCATGGATAGGGAATCCCACAACATGGGTGCTTGAGGAGGTAACTGCAAGAATATAGAGATAAGAGACTGCCTGCCATTCTTTCCCCTCCATCCCAGCCATAGATATGTGAGACACCTGAAGTCTGACCTTCTGTGTCTCCAGCATATGACTATCCTCCATGTGAACTTCCCCCAAACTGCATACACTGGGGGACCTCAATGGACACCCCTTCTATTACTATGTCCTCTATGAGTTCAAGATCAGAAGCAGTTGTCATGCCATGATCATACCCCTAAGTGCAGATCTGCACATGGGGCCCCAGCCAATGTGGAAGGAATGGTAAGGACCATGGAAGGGATATCTTGTAGTGGAATGGGTACAGTTTTGCATCTATCATCACCATATAACTGGTGTTCACTGAGTGCCACCAGTACCTGCAACAGGACCACTCATGTCATGCAACAAGTCTAGGCACCTCCATGTCTGCCCAGGTAGGTGCCGTGTCCTACCCTGCTGGCCAAACCTGCCATGGGTCAGCCCACCCTATATCTACCTCTCAGGTTCTGCCCCAGAAATTGAGTGGCATGGACATGCCTAAAGTTGTCACTTTGACATGGCTGCGTTTCTGTCATCTGGCAATGTGAATGGAGGAGTGTGCAATTTATGTCAGCACAGGCTAGGCCTTCTTCCACTTATAAGCCTACGGAGGATTCTTGTTCCCCTTGATCCTATAGACATGGGTCCTCCAAACTCCAGTTCCAACTCTAATCCTGATTCTTCTGCTACATGGTGACTTCTGACCTAATTGCTTCCTTAACCTCTGACCACTGATCCAGCCTGTAACTGTGACCCTGTGCGTGGCCTGGAAGGGGGTTTGTGAAACCATGTCTGGGGGCAGTGCTGTGACTTCTGACAGCCTGGTCCTTATGGTATGAATTCCATTGAGCCTAAGGGATGCTAGCATGAGCAATCCTTAGGGTAGTCCCCCAACCCCATGTCCTCTTAGATCTGCCCTCAAACATTTACCTGATAACACATGCCCCATTTACTCCATGACAGTCTTATCAGAAATCTAAGTGCCCTCTGCCTTAACCTGCAGGTACAAATTTCAGGGCCAGGCCCCTGGCACTCATTCCTATGATCCTTGTAACGGTAAGGTCACTGCAAACACTGTCTCTGGATGGCACTGGAGCCGTTGTCTGGCAAACTTTGACCCACCTTTAATTTGAACTTGACTTGGGTGCCAAGTTTCTAGGAGTTTAACAAGTATAAGGCTATAGAAATACTGACTGTAGCTGAGTGTTGTGGTGTATGCCTATAATCTTGCGACTCAGGAAGCTGTGGCAGGAGGATTGCAAGTTTGAGGCCAGCATTGTCAGCTTAATGAGACCCTGTCTCAAAATAAAAAATAATATGGACTGAGAATGTATTCAGTAGTAAAGCACCCCTGGGTTTAATCCCCAGTACAAAAAAAGGGAGGTGGAGAGGGGAAGAAAGAAAAGAAAAAAGAAATAGTGACTATAAGTTGTAGACTGAGCCTTGCACATAGTGGGTACCATTTACTGACTTGGTCAGTCCCACCATAGTTACCTGAACTAGAATATGCCCTCAGGTGTGAGCTTTAGGAATAAAAGAAAGTGACTAAAATATGTTATAACATGTTACAACAGTATTCTACACTGGATTTAAAGGTGTTTCACAGAGGAAGACAGCCCAAAAGAATAACCCCATCCCCTTCTCCCCCAATTCCATGATAGTAGGGATTGAACCCAAGGATATAAGTAGCTGGGATTACAGGCATGCACCACCACACCCAGCACTTCTTGCATTGAATTTTGTAAACCATTTGTATAGATTTAACTCTGGCTGTATCCTATATTCATTACCCCACCCCAATCCCTCTCACTTTTTCTCTATCTCCTTCTTATCTACTTCTGAAAAGCCTAACAGGAATTCACCAGGGCCTCCCCTCTCCCTCTCAGCCACAGACAAAGGAGCATTCAAGCTTTGTATCACATCTTGTCCCTCCACAAGCAGTC